TACTATGTTGCAACTGCTGAAACTTTACCTTTAGACGAAAATAAGAAAAAAACCCGTGTTGTTAAAGTAATTTAAATAACAATTAGATTATATCTATTTTTGTTAATAATAATCTTTCTTTTTTTTTCAATCTCTAGTATTACCAGTGGACTCCATTTATTTTACTTTTTCAAGCTGTTTTATTCTATTTGCCACGAATGTTGTGGCGTTCTTTATCAGCTAAATCAGGTATTAATATTGTTAATCTAGTCGATGCCGCATTAAACTATCAAACAGCCGATCGTTTTGAAGATCGTAATAAAATCATGACTTATTTAACACGTTCAATCGATCAATATGTTTATATGCGTAAACGAAAACGTAAACGTTTTGATTTTATACGCCGTTTCCTAGCATTTATTTTATGTGTACCTGGACGTCGCATGGGTTCATATTTGTTAATACTATTTTTTGTCACCAAACTTTTATTTATCGTCAATTCTCTTGGGCAATTATTTTTGCTGAATATCTTTCTGGGTCATAACTTTGCATCTTATGGAGTCGATTTAATAAGAAAAATTTTAAATGGAGAAGAACTTACCGAATCAATTTATTTTCCGCGTGTAACTATGTGTGAGTTTGCTGTAAGAAATATACAAAATGTTCATGTTCATACCGTACAAGTAAGTTAAATACGAAAGAAAAAAAAACTAAATCGAATTGTATTCATCATCTTGTTGTTGTTTTCTTTTATTAGTGTGTACTACCGATCAATTTATTTAATGAGAAAGCATTTTTATTTATTTGGTTTTGGCTTGCATTTTTAACTATATGCAATACATACGATTTATTAGCGTGGTTTGTACGTTCATTTGGTCGTGTACGTTATGCTTATATAAAAAAACGTCTGGAATTAATGCAAAGTGACACACATTTACGGCGAACGCCAGCAAAAGAATTTATTCATCGTTATTTGCAACATGATGGTGTACTCATACTAAGACTTCTTGCCTATAATTCAAGTGATTTAGTTGTCACTGAATTAATACAACAATTATGGCAATTTTATAAACGTGCTGGTAGTGGAGCCGGTGGGCCTGCTTCGACAACTGGATCAGCTATATCGTCATCAGCTATTCCGCCATCATCTAGAGCAGGCCCAGGTGGTGGTAGACAGGTGAGTGTTCGCCTGTTCGAATCGGGTGTTGGCGGCGGTGCTGGCCGAGATGATATGTGAATGAGTGAACGTACTTTGTATTTTGTACAGTCTCGTCTTTGATTCTTTGTTTTTTTTTTCGTTCTTCCGTTTTTGTCACGCATATGCATGATAATGAGCTTTCATGAACGAAAGAATAACGATAATAAAAAGAGACAGATATTATAGAAAACAGTGTCAAATACACGTGATTTTTTTTAACCGGCAGTTACCAATGGTTTTGTTACAAAAAATAATCTTTCGAAATCAGATGAAAAATCTTGGTAAGACTAACAAAGCAAAGCATTCGTAACTTTCAAACAGAGAAAAAAAAACCGTTGACATAACTCTGCTATTAGTTACATATACATAAATATCAATTAATGGGAGCCAGATGTGAATTTTTATGTGTCATATCAGTCATGTCCACTAATGTTCGTCGCCTTTATTGCTGCCAATCTGTCCATCTATAATATATACATATAATTCTGTATACTATCAAATCCCTACAAATGATTATACATGGTTTTTATTTATATGAAACAATCAAGCTGACACTTTCGTTGTCCTATTCCATCAACACCTCATCACTTTCGAAATACTTAAACAACGATTAAACTAACTAGTATGATTCTTTGATGTATCGTTTGTAACAAATAGTTTATTCTTTTAGGTTTCTTTGACAGAAATGTCGTCAGTATCGAAGTAGCTGATAAACTTCCATCCATTCTTGCGGTTTCTTTGTTCTTTGTCTCTCAATGTCAAACAGATGCTATTCTCATTGTGTTGTTCCTTTGATTAGTACTATACACTAAACGATATATACGTGTTTTGCATAAGAATGTGATTTGTTATGCATGACTTTTTTTGTCGTCATTTCCTTCTAAAATGATAGAATATCCATTAGCCAATTAACGTTAGAAGATATCTCATTCGTAAATTGTATCTTTCAGTTTTTTCTTGTGCTTGGTCAAACACTAAATGACATTCTATTCGATAATTTCTTGTTATGTCTTATTACACACAATCTTTGATGTTATCATCCTGCTATAGAGAATCAATTTATATGCATATATACAAAACTCATTTGGTTGGAGCTTTACCAATATGGCTGAGAGACAATTATTAAATGCACTTATGTAGTTTTTTTTCTCTCGCTCTATGATGATTTAAGTCAATATTTTAGAGATTTTTCTTTAGCTATTTAGAATATTATATCTTTCGATTAGGATGTACTCTTCAGAGAGTTATTTAATTGTCAAATAGAAGAACATGTTTTTTCCCCGCTGTGAATCAGTCATGACATATCCAAAACATAACAATTCGCTCAGTGGAATCAACGAATGAGTGATGTTAGATCGGTGTTATTTTTTCTCTCATATACTTATTAAAATGACAATCAAAAGCTAGATTGACGATGGCTCTGAAGGTCTTCAACAATGAACTCATCGCCAAAACTAGGCAAAAACGAATAACAATATGCAAATAACGATCGAGATAGAAACCACAACAAAAAAAAAGAAATTAGATTATTGCATGTTTTTTATCATTATAATAGAAAAGACAAGTGACAAATCATTATTGACAAATTCATTTAAACATAATGATTGATTTTCCTTAGTAAAAATTTACTAAATTTCAATTATTTCTATATAATACTACTGAATGATTTATTTGATAATAAAATGAACATTTTCCATTTCATATACCAGTAAAAAAAACGTGATTATCTACTCTCTAAAAACTTACAGCGTACCAGATGCTTCTTGATAATATAATTTAATTCATCAGTTGTTGACATGAAAGCTACGGTATGTGTACTAGATTGATGGTATGATTTCAATTAAAATTTTGTTAAATATATAAAAAAAAATAAAACGATTCAAGATAATAATCAATATTAAATATTAAATTAATTCAACAAACAGTTATTCATTATCGTAGGATTAAATGGATTTAGTATTACAAAAAACATTTCGTAATCTATTTAACTAACAAATTTTTCAAAAGAAATTGCCAGAAATATGAATGAAATTATTGAATGAAGAAAAGTACCTACAATTTTTGAGTTACAACAAGAGTTCCATATTTTTTCTTTAGAAAATACGAATGATAATATAAAATACTGTTATTTAATTGACAGAATCCCTTTCTTTCTAGTAAATTAAATTCTATCACGAAAAAGTAACAAATTCAAGTGTTGTTTGGTATTCAGACGATCAATTCTGAATTTTTCTTTTTTTGTTGTTTTGAAATCATCATCCTATGCGATCTCATTATTCTTGATTAAATTTTCTTTTTTTCCTGTTATATTCTCATTTTTATTTTGTATTACAATAAAATAATTCCTAAATATAGTTCTAATAAATCTCAATTAAGTAGATGATTAAATACGCAGACGATAATTTATCAGGAATAGAATTTATTAACATAAATTTGTCAAGATTAATATATCTTGCGTATTTAATCGTATCAATACAACGAAAATAAAAGTTTCATTTTTTTCCGAGTTATTCTCTGAGTTCAATGGCAAGGCTTAACAATTCAAGTCTTGAAAAGTGACGCATTCTACATTAAGTATTGTATCTGATGAACACACATAACCTAAAAAAAAACTATTGATGAATATCTACAAAAATGACAACATCGTATTTGATGAAACAGTAAAGATAGCTGATAATCAAAAACAATTTTAATTAAGAATACCACAAACTACTATTCTATCCTTCATTAGATAGCTGTCATTCATCGAAAGATCTCCTTTAAGTTAACCAAATGTATATCTATTTAATAGCATATATGTATACTGTAAATGTTTGGTTTTTCTGTCAACACGTTTATTTGTTTGATAGGAAATGTTGATGACTTTTTTCGTCTTTCTTTTCTTTCTAGCTTTTCATCAGCAGTAACTACGGCAATTATCGTATCGCTTAGCATTTGGACTAGCATGTCGGAGATATGCGAATACTTCAATGCTATAATATGGCATAATATTAATAACATTTAGCTATGTATAACCTTTCTTAGCCGAGACGAAACGTAATTGAAACCAATTGTTTTTACTAACTTTGAATTTAACTGGACTTTCTATCAACAAACTTTCTTCGTTTATTTTGATTTGATTCTTGCAATTGAACAATGCTTTTTCATGATCTTACTTTCATTTTTTTTTTGAAAGCATCAAACATAGTATGATGATATTTATGTTACATGCTAATATTTGGAATTTACCATTTGTAAATATACAAATAGGAAAGAAAGGAAATCATTTCTTCTAGAACGCAAAATAAAAAGAGCAACGTATAGTATTTTGAGCTTCAAGAGCAAAAATTCTATATTCAAAAATGGCATACAGACGAACACAGTGGATAGGGAAAAATGATTCTTTGAATACGAACAAAAACATGGAAAAAAAGATAGGATAAAGATCGGGATTTATGTAGCATTGAAATAAATATAATTATAACTATTACTGTTTGGCTTTATCGTTAACGTTAAAAAAAAGAGACAGGTCATTGCAGGTTGTACTAAGGAGTGTCAAACAATCAACAGGTACAAGTAACAATAATAAAAGCTCCAAATAGAAAAATGATAAGGGATTATTTTAAAATAATCGTATTATCATAATTCTTTCGATTTCTCGTGAGATTCGTTCTGCTTTCCGTTTTTCTTTTATTGTTGATGTTGATCAGACACAGACACAGACACGCACATATACATTCATATAAAAGGACTTTATCTTTTTTTCTGATTCATAAACAGATATATACATAGTTATATAGACGCACATATGTATACGTAAACGTTAATAGAAAAAAATATACAGATGTGGCATGCAGTTGAAACGTCGATTCAAACAGCCAATAAAACTCATCAAGTCGGTACCAGTTTTAAAAGTAAGAGAAGTAGCAGAGAATTAATCGTACATTTTTTTTTCTTGCAAAAAATAAAGAAAAAGAAGAGTTGGTGTGTATCAATATATGTATACATATAAAAAAAAAAAACTTTTATAGAAAATGCCACACCGAGTCATCCAATATCAAGACCAGCATGTTCAGTGGCTGAATTAATGAAAAGAACCAAGTTCTCAAAAGATCAAATTCGTCATCTATATCGAAGATTCAAACAAGTAAAGTCTTTGATTGACTGATTTCGTTTTCTAAAAAAAGATTAAATTAGGATAGCCCATCTGGACAAGTAAACAGAGAACAGTTTGCCATAATTTTTGCAACATTATTTCCAACTGGTGGTATGTGTCTTTTTATGTCGTTAAATGAGAAAGCACATCAAATTTTTGAACTATTTTAGAATCCTATCGTTATTCACTGTATGTTTTCCAAAATATTGATCGATTAAATACGAATATAATACGCTTCGAAGATATGCTTGCAACATTTTCTTTACTTGTATATGGTTCAATGAAAGATCGTCTTGGTTGGATATTTGATTTGTATGATTTGAATAAAGATGGAATTTTAACAAGACCGGTTTGAAAAAAAGAAGATATGCATATCTCATTTGTGCTTTTAAATTTTATTTTACATTTTCATAGGAATTATTTCAATTGATCGCATCAATTTTTCAACTGATTATTCCTATTCGTAAACTTGATTATAGGCCAACCCTGAATACTATCGAAGAGCGAACAGATAGATTATTTCGTGTATGTATAAAATACTTGATTGCATGTTATTTAATTGTATTATTATTATTATTATCTATGTCAGGCTTGGGATGTTCATGACAAAGGTTCCATTAATAAAGAAGATTTTCTTCAATATTGTCTACAGGTTAGTTTAACTATTTAATCATTCATTCTAGAAGATAGATAGAGAAAGATAAATAAATAAACTTACTATCTATTTTGAACTATAACTCAGTTTACTAGGAACTATAATAGAACTGCTTAGAACAGTTAAATGATTTATGTTATATGTTGCTTTTTTTCTTAACGCAAAAAGCGTCTATAATCAAGAATTGCATGTTTCTTCTAGGAACATAGCGTTCGATGTAATCAAAGGATTCCTTTTTAAATAAAATATATGTTGAGATGAATGTCTTGACGAAAGACTACAATTAGAATTTATATTCTTATGAAAAGAATGATCAACATTCATAAGAACTTTAATTTTAAAAATAAAAATGAAGTATTTCATTTTATTCTTTCAAGCATCAATAAATAGAAGGAAAAGAAAAAGAACATGAATAACCAACGCTACTCTATATCTCCTGATAGAACTATTGATTAATTGTAGGGGGGGGCTAAACTTCTTTTTTCACAGGATTTTATTTTTTCTAGGGGGGTTCAGCCCCCCTTCGTAGACCCTTGGTTACGCCTTTAAACTTTAGTCTGGCAAAACACGAAGGAATACATTAATGTAGACATGTAACTTCGCCAGAATATCAGTTAATACGCTTAGTGCATCTATGAAAGGCAGTATTTAATCAATATATACCTAGCTCGAGATGGGTGTGCACTCGGTTAGTTGGCAGTGGAATATATTTTCAGGTATCGTATTACTATTATGTTATACGATTTTGATTAGATAACCTAATGAGTATTGTCTCCATACATATGTATTTACGATGTAACGGCCCAGTTTTTTCATAATATTCTAGGAAACATGTTTCAATAAGTTTGTAGGGTTGAATATTGAAAAATATTTTTAAAGTTAACTGCTAAAGACATCAAAATTGGAATTAGGGATGCAACAGTGATGGTGTATCACCGGTTCATCGTTCACCGGTCGTACCAAACTAGCTCTGATTGGAAATACTTGCTAATGACAACAATTAATTTCGGTCTCCCATGGTTTTAATAGCACTTTAGCTACCACAAATGTAATTATTCAAAGTCAAAATTTTAAGTTGAGAATATATCAACGGCGCTGACTATTTCTCTTTTATCAGATATCTTCTTAATAATTGCTGCTAGTGGAGCTGATATACAGGTGATTTAACTGCATCGAGTACTCATTTACAGATGTTATCTACGTATATATGCACTCATAGTTGAATTAGTACGTACCATTAGTGGACTTGCACTTTTATGCTAAGGATGATCGCGTTGCACAACCATTCTGAATTTCAATCTCGATAAAGACTTTAAGTTATTGCAAAACTATTAAAGGTTAATACTATACAAGATTGTCAGTACTCTGATTCTCTTATTCCGTGTTGTAGTTTTCATGCGACTTCAAATAAGTAAGAATATACATTTTCAAGATCGCTAATTTTTAGTTTTAAAGTTTTTTGCTTAATATTATCTCGATAATTTATACATGGGAATTGAAGTTTAATGTTGCTGAAAAATGTATATAATTTGAGTATCCAAACAGGAAATAGTGCTGTATGTGTTTATCAAAATGAAAAAATATCTTGCAAAGCGCACGCATATTCATGTTTTAACAGTGTTTGTGTTATTATTAAACTTAAACAATTTTCAAACAGATACTATGTGAAAAATATCCTTTTTAAGAGTCGGAGTAAAATTGAATTGAAAGCAGACTAATGGATCAAGTAAAGAATTAAAACTAGCATCGGGAAGAGTACTAATCATTGCTGAATTTAAACATTGAAAATTTCTGTTAAATCGAATTACATAACTATAAGAACTAATTTTCATTTACAATAATATTATTCACATCTGTGCTTTGTATCAGCAACACAATCCGTCACACATTCAGATGCACCGGTTATCGTCACCGTTGCATCGCTGATTGGAATCATACCGATGAGTAGAATTCTGAAACTATACGTCAAATCAGGTTCACTGGAGACGATCAAAAGTATAATTAGATGTAATCAGAAATTCATTATCTTTCAAATTATTTATTGCAAATACTTTCCCTGGGTTTAAAATTCGTTAATCGTGAGCAAATTTTTTGTCGTATCTTTAAATAATAGTCGAATAAAAGACTAAGTTAAATTGTGTTTGTAAATATGTTGGTTTCTTTTTAATAGCATTTAGATGTTATCGAACAAGATCGAATTCAGTCAATTAGAATCAATATTTGACGCTTTTTCGTAGTATCGGTTGAGAATTTTGTCTGAATTATGTTTGCTTAGCCTTGAATGAACATTTATTCGATGTTTAAAATGCAATAGACTTGATCATTTATCTGACTTTTGTTCACTACTCTCCAGCGGCTTGTAAGTGAACAAAAGCTGGCCGCATATATTGTGTCAAAAACTGTTTTATATGTAAATTATTTTGTTCATTTTTCTAGCGTATATCTTAAGTCTTTGTATAGTTATTTTCTGCACACATATCAAGTTGAACAATAGAACATTTCTTCACGACCAACTTGATTCAACTTTGAAAAATTAAGACTAGATTTATGATATCGACTTTATGATAGAATATAGTTAGCTAACAATCGAATAAGCATTGACATCGTTAGATATTATTTTCTGTTCGTAAAACATTCTATTTTATCGAACACTATTCTTTTATTATTAATGTAATCATTATTCATTTTAATTTTAATTATCTATTTGATTTATAATATAGATAAATGCAGATTGCACCTGTACTTTTATTCAAACTAGTATTGATTCCACATTCTTTTTTCTTAGAAACAGCTGAATTGATGTTTAGAAATCATATCTGATTGTCGCGTTTCTAGTTTTGTTTTAGTCAATCGATATATTTAGTAGCGCATCGGAAAATCAATGGAATAATGTGATAAGCAGCACTCTACGGCCAGAGCCGGAATTTGCCATTCCCTGAAGTGTTATACAAATGTATAGTGCACGAAAGACCATGTCATTCTTCGTATCTTAGTTAGTTAGTTCTGATTTGTAACATTAATGAAAAATCCCCATCATTTTTTGACGTGTGTATTGCAGTTGCAGGCACATCTAGAATAAAAGAATTGCACAAATGAGGTTTTATGATTTTGATATTAAATAGTGTAACATGATACAACTTTCGTCGCTCTTAGAAACTTATATAAATACCTGCTCAGTTCTATTTATTTTCTGAGTCATAATTATAGGATTGAAAATAATTTAAGCCTAACATTTTTATAGAAGAATTGTAAACGTTCGACTGACTTTTCTCAGAATAGCTAATATAAACCTGTCTACGATTGTCTTGAAGACTTTATCATCATGTCGCCCACAAAATACACTTACGAAAAAACATTTGATTATTTAAGTTAAAATAAATTTTCAAAGTAACTTTTCAATATGAAAATCTCCATGAAAGTCATCAATTGAGTGCATCTACTTTTCAGCAAACAAGAGTTTTGACCAAATAATATATTTCCTGGACTCAAAGAAAAAGAAGATATTTTATTGAATAACGATGAAAAATTCTGTTAAGTTTTTGAATAATTAGATTTGCTAGAGAGAACAATGAAACGATTTCCAATAAAACTCCATGTAGGTATAAATTTCTTTTTGGTGAAAAAGCTAACTAAATTGTTTCGAACTATGTGCTAATATGTCACGTTTACCTCATTTGACCTCACATATTTCTCATTGGAAAAAAAAGAAAATAACGTATGAGATGTCTGTATACATTTTCGAGAGCGATAAACATCGTATCTATTGAGAGTATTCAAAATCAAAACCATTTACGAGCAAGAATTAATTGATAAAATTAATTCTATTGAAATTTTTATTTTTATTTTAGAACGAAGCAATCATTCGCTCAATGGATAAACTTAAATCAGAAATATGTTTATAATCATCATTTATTTTTTCTTTTCTTATTTTCAAAAACAAAAAAACCAAACGCACACACAAAAAAATATTTGCATCCACACTAGTGACAATACACATGGTGTTCACAATAATAATAATAAAAAAGAAAACAGAAGGCCAGGCTCTATTTTTAGTACGAGATCGTATTTCAAAAAGAAAAGAAAAAAAAGATTTTACTTGTGTATCCCTGAAAGAGAAGCCTAAATAGCATAGAAACTGCATAGGTCATATCTCAATATTTTAACTTGAGTCCTAAGTCGAGTAAAATGTATTGTGTTTTAAAGATAATAAAATCAATATTTATATATATATATATATATATATATATTAAATATGTAACTCCTTGTTTCTTGTATCGAAAAGAAAAAAAAACACAACAAATATCGTGAATTCGCCAAACATCTGCCTGTTTTGTAGAGTCGTCGATCAATTGGTCGGTCAAAAAAACGAAAACAAAAAAAAGCAAACAACTATTAAAATTTAAAAGAATAATGCAAATTAGCAGAAAAAAAACAAGAAGAAGAAAAAACTGAAAAAAACTGGTACAACTCTCTGATCGGTAGATAGATTAGAAAGAAGAATTTAAAGAGATAGTACGTGTCACTGTTTTCTCCATGTATGGCCATCAACCTTTTCTTACGAACACTGTTATTCAAGAGTGACTGAGAAAAAAAAACGAAAGAAAGAAAGAAAAGCAAACGCAATTGATGTTTGAAACAACAAATTAAAAAACTGTACAAATATCCCTTTAAACAAGCATGAATAAAGAGAACTAGAGAATAATGTTGGACCTGAGTGATAAAAGAAAAAAAAACGAAACACACACGTGTGTATAATGATTAAATAGTGAATTAATTATTCGATTGTAAACCATTGAGCATTTCGCCAAGTAAACAACCGTCGAGAAGTTTTCCATCATGTTTACGATCAATTAATTGTAAAAATTTCTTTAAATCATTTCCAATCAGACGCACATCAGGTAGTTTCAATAAAATACAAGCAAATTTTTCTTGCTCATTTGTTGGTGCTTGCTGTTGTTGTGATGGAGATCGACTTGTTGAATTTGATATGGATGGATTATTATGATCTGTTGTGTATTCACCTAGGGCGTTTGTGATTTTTTCTTGGACTTCTTCGATTAAACTCGATTCAGTTACACCTTGAACGTCTAGATTTAACAAAAACCAAATGAAAATTTCTCCAATATAGTTCATTTTACAGAGAGTATACATTTTCTATGCTTAACTATTGAATAACTCTTCGCCACTATTATGATATTCTTACATAATCTTTCAAGATTTTTATTTCTAACCATTCCGTTGTATTTTACTTATTTAACTACTATTTAGAAATTGGCTCTTTTGTTTCAATAAAAGTAAAGAAAAGAAAACTGAAGTTTTTGAGAATAGTTCATGTCATTGATACATAATTACGACTTTATTCAAGAGAGTAATTTGCATAGCCGATCACGATTAAGTCTTGCAACGAAAATCAGCGTCACGGCTCAAAAACTTTGCCGGCTATTTATCACTTAGAAGTTTTTCCATTGATTCAACTATCATCAATTTTCAATAAAGTTACGAAAGGTAACAATCAAACAGCATTATTTTCTGAGAAAAGAAGATTCATTATCGTACCCAAAATAATTTTAAGTATTAGTGTTGCATCAATAGATAAATCTATTGAAGAAAAACAAATTCTACTTTTTCGAACATTTTTCTATAGGCAATTCTTAATCTATAATAGAAAACTTCAAGTAAATAATGTAAGAAAAAATGCATACATCAGTTATAATTGATCTAAATTCATAATGATTTCTTCCCTATCAATAATTTTTATTGATAAGAAAAATAAATCACAATTAGAATTAAAATCAAAACTTATTGATTATTCTTCCATCGATTTGTCGCAGAAATAGTATTACTATAGCATATATTCAAGTGCTACATTAGATAAACATTGACGAAAATCTAATAGAAATTTCGTTCGAATAAAAGTTCAGTCATAATATCAAGCATCCGTTTACCCGAAAACCCTACATATACAGCAACTAAATAAATGCTTTAGACCTTAAAATATATCATGCCGTTCGATGTATACATCAAATGGGTTATCTCATTGATAAAACCGATGATACTATGTTAGAGAAATAGTTGAAGAAGTTCGAGTTTAGTTTCTACCTGGATCAAAGAGTACAAGATATTTGAGTGCAAGATATTCTGGATACTAGAATAGAAAAAAGAGTAGCAATAGTTTTTATCTAGATAAACAAATTGTTTAGAGAGAATACATACTTGCCACTGGAGTTGACGAAAATCATTGACACATTGTAAATATCTCTCAGCTAACTTTTTAACAGCTGGATTTTGAATTAAATTTATATTTAATAATTGTCCATTGGCCTAATTATATATATATATAGATATATGAAAAATTACAAAATGCGTTTTTCAAAACTTCAATTTTCAAACATACGCTAACAATACAATTAACACAAGTTTCTTTTGGTTGTTGACATTGTTTCCATATAAGATCAATAATTAATATTTCAATCCATGCTGCTTTCAATAATTTTATCTGATTATCAATCTTTAAAAAACGAAAAATGAAAATTATTAGTACAAAAATAAACTATTGAAACAAATCCTTCAGGATGATAATGTGAAACACGATATAACTACTCTTGCTAATCAAAAATAATTAATTTTATTCTATCTATTTTAGAAAATATTTCTTCGTTATATTTTTAATTAATCCTCTAGAAATATAATAAAGAACTAGCTCATCTATGCTAACAAGATGCTATGATCTCTGACTCGATTAAATATTATGATTTTTGGCAAGCGGATAAAATAACTAATCAAAGATTTTTCAACTTACTTGAATATCTTTGAAGTATAAGGATTGCCGAGCCTATAAAAAATGAAAATATTTTTCAAATATATTTCTTTTATTAAATGTTTAACAAACATACCCAATCAACCATAAGAAAACACAGTTTATCCAACAATGAACATACAACTAATATATCACCATCATCACGCGTTAAATCAATATGTATTTGTTGAATATCTTCAATGTATCGTACTTCAGTACACTAAAACAAAAATAAAATAATAACAGTAATAGTAACAATAGTTATTCTTCATAGAATATAAAGAAATAAAACACAGCTGTTTCATACTCGATAAGCTTGATCGGATTCAATTAGTTTTGTTAATGTTTCTGGTATACTATTTGTATCGTTCATATCATAATTTGTTGCTAAATATTGATTATTATAAAAATAAACCGATGATATACCATTGTTAGTATCTGTATGCATCGAATCGTTTGTTGCCATTGGATGTTGTTGCATAGTTAATGTACTTAATATTGAAGATGTATTCAATGTTGAATTAGTTGTGTTCACTGTTGCTGTTGTTCCTGTTGTTGATGGTGATGATATTTGATAATCAAGTAATTTTGATGATATTTGACCAACAGGTGATGAACTTGAATTTGAAGAACCTGAGGCTGGATTACTGTTGCTATTCGACGGTAAAAGTAACGATGGTGGCGAATGTCCATATGAAGTTGAGGATGCTGAAGAATTTTTATAGTATGTATCGAATGGATTTAATTGAAACGGTTGTTGTAAACGTGTATTATTTGTAATTGAAGAATTTGTATTAAAGAAATCCTGATAAACACCAGGAAATGATGAAGATTTTTGTGGTTGATAATGATGTTGTTGATGATGAGGAAGATTATTTGGATGGTGTGTATGTGGTGAATGATTGATATTTGTTGTTGTTTGTAAACTCGAGTACATATGTTGAAATGGATGAAGATTTGGCTGTTCAGGTTCAGATTTAACTTGTAAACCATTACCCGTCATATCTAATGAAGTTTGTCCATTGTCAATACCATTCCCGTTCGGTATCATATTTTGTTGTGCTTTAACCATACTAACAAAATGTTGTCTCATAATTTGTTGGCGTAAAGCACGACTACGACGATATAATGGACCAAATTTATTTCGTCCACCTCGTACTCGGTTCTCTCGAACAGCTTCTAGTTTCATACCAACTTGTAAACATTTTTTAAAACGACAAAAAGCACAGCGTTTTCGTTGTGTTTTATCTATTTGACATTGTTGCTTATCGATACATTGATAATTTTTTTTATTTTGTACTGTTCGTTTGAAAAATCCTATTTAAAATTAAAAATAAAACGAGATCATTTTTCATGCCTGTACTTTTTTTTAATATTCACAAGTTATCATACCTTTACATGATTCACATGTTAGAAGGCCATAATGAAATCCACTGACTTTATCACCACATACAGGACATAAATCATTAAAACCAAATTTTACATCGAGTCCAACGTCCGGTGATGGAACGTCCAGGACGCCTGGACCTATAAAAAGAAAAGAAATAAAGTCTTTTACTTTCTTTCTTTCTTTCTTTTACACATCGAATTAAGTTAGATTTATTTTATATAAAAACTATCAGTTTTCTAAATCAACATACATAAAACGTACGCGTAAGCACACACACATATACACATGAGGGTTTTTGTATGTGATTACTAAAGATTTATTCTTCTTTTCTTTTCTTTCTTTTACATCGATTTTCTTTTACCACTAATGGCCAAATTAGTTAATTAAACGGCAGATACATAATGAATCGTTGCTTTCATGACACGCGTTTGTGCATATGCATTCGAAATAAAAGATAGATGAGGTAGAATAACTAAACATCAGTTAAAAGTTGCGTAAATCACTAAAGTCAACAGCTGTGCGCACACATGAATGAATATAAAATTTGTACGAAATAGGAATAAAAAGAAAAAAAGTGCTCTTGTTATAAATATAACGACGGTGATGGCGGCGACAAGAGAGTTCACACGCGTGCTGGAACCGGACGTGGCTGCTTTCAACGCGTATTTTTTTTGACCTTTTTTTCTTGTTCTGTGCACCCGCCACTACCACAGCCA